TTTTTTTTTCAGAATTCTATTTATTTTGTAGTAGGGTGTTCCTGCTGGTAAGAAGGTAATCAACTCACATTAAAATTATGTTATGGACTGGAAAGAATGTAAGATTTGGATAATTAAAATTTGACGTTTAAACAAGTGTAGTACTTGTAAGGTACTTTTCGTGCCTCGCCAAGACATTATTCTTCTATTAGGTCATCATAAACGATGGTACTATACTAATTTGCAAAAATACGAACAGATACATTAGCATTTTATGACTCTTGATATACATATATATTTTTTCTATTGACTATTTGATATATTACAGGAGGAGGTTAAGTAGTATATTTATCTTATTTTTATATAAATAATATTATAAGGTACCAATGGTGTTAAACACTATCATCTAATAAAAAACGAGTCATATAGTAAAGAGTTTATAAGCGGAGCCCACGTTTTATTAGACGGTGATGTTTAATACAGATGTGCCTTTTTACATTTTCTTCTTGTATTCCATGGTTTGCCCTCCATACAATCCTTTTTGCAACCAAGAGGGCAGGCTTTCCTAATTTGCAGGCCGCTGCTATTTTGTCTCATTATGTTTTCGCAAATGTTATTATGTTATTCACGTCTTCGGCTCCAATTTCTGTCTCATTATGAATATTATCTGAGGATAATTTTGTTTTTTAAAATCTTAAACAATATCATAGTATTTCAGTAGAAGTCAACGGTCCGTTTAGATAGGCTTAAAAAACTGTTTTTAGCTTATTTAATTTAAAAGTTATTTTTGAACTTGTTTGAATGGATAATTTTATATTTTTAATTTTTTAAGCACTTTTAGAATAAATAATTTTTTTAGTGCTTATGAAAAGTTTTTTTATTTACATTTTTAACCTTTGATTTGTGAATAACAATATCTCATCCATATCTTTTTATTACATTACTTTTTATAACAATAAGTGTTTTTAATTTTTTTTATCCAAATAGGTTTAAAAGCTTTTTTTAAATATAAAAATATATTTTTAGACACTATCTAAACACCAATAAGAAAGCCTCAATTTATGTTTATTTTTTTATACTACTTAAAAGTACAAACACAAACTATCCCAAATGGCCAACGTTAGACAGCTTTTGAACATTATAATTTCTGTAACATAGCTTCCAAATGATAATGTCACGAGGTCAACAAAAAAAGTCATAACAAATCAATTCAAAAAAAAAAGTATGCATTATATAACCAAAATTATTATTAATATTGAGAGAAAGTTTGTATTTTTTTAACTGAACGTTTCCAAGCTCCATGTATTTAATTTCATATTTTCGTGCGCTCAATCACTAATTTCATATTACTTTTCCTTTTTAAAATTTTCCCTAGATGATGTGTAGTTTTCCTAACTGAATACGGCAGTGACTATAATTCATTAATGCGAAGTGGGTTACTTGTGAAAATGGTAAAGCTTCCATATTCAAATAATTTCATAAAAATTCCTTTAATTATCACGAATTCAACCCAAGTTATTTTATTTTTAAATGAACAAATTAATTTTGTCTAATTTCCTTTTAAGAAAATTGGCAATTAAATTTTAGAATATAAAATTAGTAAACAAAAATATTGCAATTGAGCAAGACCAAGCCATAAAAAAAATTAAATAAAATCAAGAGGAAAGAGAAAAATCAAATGAATTTAGAAGGTTTCGTTTTTTAAAAAAGAAAAAGAAAAAGAAAAGTGCATTGAAGCTACTCAAATCCTCTTTAGCTTCTTTAATCGGATAATTTATATTTTCTCGTCTTCTCCTAAAAAAGAGGCAAAGAGAACAAAAATAAATAAATAAATTAATTAATTAATCAAATCCTCTGTGTCAGTTTCTCACTCCCCCACATAGGAAATCAGAAAGAAAACTCTCGTCTTTGACAACCACAAAATCAGTTTTAAATTTCTTCCCGAGTTTGGGTTTCGGTGTCTCCTCGCTGAAGAACGGTTTTGGACTCCCAAGAGCTTCCATTTTCAGGTACGCAAAACTCTATTAGCTTCCTTTTTTCCCTTTTGATCTCTCAGGAAAAAGGTTTCATTAGTACTAAAATTCTCGTTTCTTTTGTGTTACTGGGATTGATTTTTCAGAGATTTGTGTTTAGATGTTGTTTTCTGGTTCTGCAGAGTCGTCTGGTACTTCGTAATATAATAGTATTTCGTGTAATGGGTTTCGATTTTGGGTGTAAAAGATTGCGTTTTTGGGTTCAATGTTTTGTGGGTGTGTTCTTTTTCGGTAAATGGTATAGTATGATTCTAGGGTTTTTCTTTTTTTCTTTCATTATTTTTTTAGTGGCTTTAGCTTGGAGTGCTTGTTAGGGTTTCCCAGGAAATTTGGTTTCCCTTTGTTTTCTTTGTTGTCATCAACTTTCCAATTGTGGAGTTTCTGCTTTTGTGAACAAAGATTGCAAATTATTTGTGCTTCTAATGCTAATATACAGAAAAAAAATTTATGCTAATTGATTTTTAATTAGCCAATGAGAGAATCCATGATGAGAATTCACCAATGAGAGAATCCATGATGGACACTGCAGGCATAGTTAATGTATGTTAATGCTGTTTTATTATCTTAACTGAAGTAATTTGTTCTAAAATTTGATTGCTTTGAATGGATTTAGTGATATTTTTCTTTTTTTTTAGTGATATTTATCTTTTAATAATGAATGTTAAGTTTTGGATTCTAGGCAGGATTCTGATACTTCATAAGAACACTGAGAGAACTGAAGATTTAAGAGATTTAGGAGTCCATTATGTTGAAGCGGTTGCCAAGCAGAAATCAAAGATCAAAAGGCATTAGGGTGAAACATGTTTTGCAGATTTGTCTGCTTCTTGGAGTCTGCTTTTGGCTAATCTACCAGGTTAAGCATTCCCATGATAAGAAAAAAGCATTGGACGTGAATGGTGTGAAAACCTCGGCCGCAAGCGTAAGCGATAGTGAGATTATCAAACTTGGGAGGAAAGACCTTCCTCGTGAGGATGTAGCTAAAATTGAGAAGCCTGAGGAAGAAGAGGAAGAAACCCCAATAGAGGAAGAAGAAAGGCAAGAAGAAGAGCGAGAAGAGGAAGATAACAAGCACGAAGGACATGGAGAAGAGGAAGAAGAGAACAAGAATGAAGAGACAGAAGATGGAGGTGGTGGGGATGATGAGATAGATGAGAATGACCAGGAGAGAAAAGAGGAGGAAGGCAATCGCGATGAGGATTTTGTAGATGATGATAAAGAGCAGGAAGGGAATGTTGATGACGAGGAGAAAACAAATGACAATGGAGACATAGAGGATCAAGTAGAAAACGGGAACTCATCTGAGGATCAGGATAATGACGGTGGTAATCGGAGTGATCATGAGGCACGGGAGGAACATTATAAGGCTGATGATGCATCCAGTGAAGTGGCCCATGATGCCCAAGTTGTAAACACGGAAATAAAAACAAGTTCAGAAAACTCAAATGAGAACGTTGAAACAAATAATGCTGAGAAATTGAATAACACGGAGGCTGTTAACAAGAACAAAAGCGAATTGAGATCAGTAGTGGGAGAAGGTGGAGTTGCTGAAAATGCTACTTCTTTGGATGTGGTTTCTTCTGGGCAGAAGGTTGAGAATAGTTCTGTGGATAACCAACTATTAGAGATAACAAAAGTTAATGATCAACCAGAACCAGGCAATAGCGGAGTCCAGGTGAGTACAGAAGCTAGCAATAGCTCTAGTGTAGCGAGTTCGGAATTTAACAATAACACAACTGCAGTAGTGAGTACAAAGGAAAGCAATAACACAACCGAAACACAAAATGACGTGTCTTCCAACTCTTCCCAGAAGAACAGTACAGAAGAGTCTGTAGCCGATGCAGGTCTTGCTCAAAATGCAATGTTGGATGGTACAACCGGCAGGGGGAGCACAGGAGAGAAAACTTCATTACTGGAACAGACAAACAACTCCACCATCAATTATGAGAACAACAAGGTTGATTTTAATTCCACAATTTCCACTGAAACGAAAAATGCAAATGAGGCCTCCAAAGAATCCTCAGATTCATCTAATAACACAGAGCACGATGTTTCGGAAAAGATATTGAAACCTGATGAAACAGTTCAAGCAGAGGATGGTTCCAATTCTTCGACTGCGAAGGAGGATACTGATGCTACTCAGAACGAGAAGTCAGAGAACAAAAGCGATGCTGAAGGAGGAGAAGAGGGTGCAGGCTCGACCAGTGGGACTGAAGTTGCAATTCAACATGATCCTTTAGATTCTTCGGATACCCAGATTGGGCAAGAAGTGAAAGACGTTAGAACGGATTTGGATACATTACCAGACTTGAGATCTATAGGGGATGAAAGTGAAGGGGCTGCAGCAGAATGATTGTTAAGATTTCAGAGGTTTTGAGTCTTTCCATGTGCATCCGAGGTCTCACATTTAGCTTTTTTCTCTCGTTGCACAAAGAGCGAAAGATTAGCTTTTTCTTTCTTTCTTTCTTTCTTTTCCCCTTTCTTTTTGGGGCATAATTGTGTGAAGCTATTGTCCTATGGCCAGAATAGTTAAAACTAGGTTATCTGTATAAGTATTAACTAGTTCCAAGTTTCCATCAAATATTGGTTTTCGTCTCTTGCAATTTGCTTTTTCTTCAATTGTTTGTAATAATTTGCTTTTGCTATTTTGATGAGGGTGGTCCGTGATTCACAAATGCTGTTTGTGTTTATTTATATAAATTCAATTTTCTGAACCTAATTTCCGACTTGGTGATTTTCAGGAGCTGGGTATGTGTTTATATCTCAAGCAATTTCTCATTTTTTGGCTCCTTAATCAACGTCTCTAGCAATAGGACCCAAAAAAACACAATTTGGTGTTCCGCATAAAACAAAAGAAAAAAGGAGGTAAAAAAAAAAAAAGTGCAAATGGTTAGAGGGCTCACAAAGTCACAATAAACCAAATATATACATTTTAACTTCATTTACGTGATTTGGAATTCTGGGTTGCGTTTGGAATTAGTTCTAAAATAATTTTATTTTCTGTATAAAAATAGAAATGCAAGCGTTTTTATTTTCATTTTGAAATTATTTTTGAAAATGCGCTTGGTAGTTTTATTTAGAGATTGATTTCAATTTTAAGAAAAATTGAAACTGCGTTTGGTGGTTTAAATTTTTTATTTTAATTTTTTTAAATTGTCAAAGTTAGAATTTAGTTGCAACACTTGTCATCAAGCTAGAAAAATGCCAAACCACCTACATATTAACTAATGACTCAGCCACCAACCACCGTTTAACACCACCAATTTTTTTACTCCTCAGCAGCTTATGACCAGAAAAAAAAAATCTCTACTCAAACTTCTTCTCCTCTCTCCAAAGTAGAAGACATAAGAGTAAGGGTTTGAGCTAGAAAATTCGGACCTAAGAGAAACCTCCTAGAAAACCATGACTTTTTTTGACAAATTCTAAGTTTAAACCCAAATTTAAGAGGCCAACTTGTACAGGAGTCAAGGTAAGGTGTTCTTCTTGTATTAGAAGGGTTTTTTCATGCTTTTGATGAATTTTTTATGGGTTATGTGTTTATGGGCTGATTAGAGATGTTTTTGTAAAAATGCGACAACCTTAGAACGGAAAAGATGGGGGGTCGTCTCAGATCGGAGAAGAGCGGGGTCGAGGGAGGCGGAGACCGACGAAAGAGACGGAGGCCGGCAAAAGAGGCGGAATGAGAGGCGATGAGAGATTGGGGAAGGTTCTGAGAACTTTTAGAAGAATGAGAAGAGAAAGAGGACACGGTAGAAAATGGGAAGGAAAACGAAAACGGAGGAGAAAATGAAAACGACTTTTTTGCGTTTTCAGATTCTTCAGAAAACGACAAAAACGTTTTTGTTTTTATTTTTTCAAACATTTTGCACCAAACGCGTTTTTCACCCGCGTTTTCAATTTTTAGTTTCGAAAAACGTAAAAAATGAAAACGAAAATAGAAACAAACACGGCCTGGATATTAGGTACCAACGTCAACCCATTAACGAAAGCATAGAATAAGGTGTCTTTATATAACAAAGAGGACCACAATAAACTTCAACATCAGTCAAATTGTGATGTCAAACGAAGATATTTTTTGCGCTCAAACAGAAACAGAAGAAACTTCCATTACTCAATCGTGGGCTCTTTGAAATTGATATGTTAATGAATTCAAATGGCGACTTCTTCAAACCCATAAGCTGGCAGCCACTTGAGCCCCTATGCCCCACTTGATGTTACAATACTAACAGACAAACAAGTAGGTAAACAAAATTAAAACGTTTAATTCATAGAGTCAGAATTATTTTTTATTTATGTGTGTTTTTAATGAGAAAAAATACTGTAATGAGTAACGAACTATGATCCGAACCATAACACGAATCTATCAACGAAACGCATCATAAATTTAAGTTAAGAGGTTCAAATGTTGAGGAAACCATTAGTCAGAGAAAATTGCAAGAAATTAGAATTGAAATTAGAGAGTTATCATAGATAGAACAAAAAATCATGGAAGAAGAGAAGGGAAAATGTCAAAAAATGAGAACAATCCGTCTCTGCAAATTGCAGCAGCAGTTAAACAGTTCACTCCGATTTCGAGGTGATTCGGGGTTGGTGTGCATTCCATTGCAACAGCATCCAAATTATTGACGTGCCTGGTCAAATCACAAAGAATGCCATTACTTTTAGTAAGTGATTAGAATTTAGCTAACCATGATGTGATGAACTAGAACGTGTGTAGTGTATACCAATAACTGTGTTTGGTGAAAGGGAAAGAAAATAGGAAGGAAAACTATGCAACTTAGGTGAGGAAAATAGAAAGAAACGGGGGAACTTTTCTCTAATTGGTGTTTGTCACGGTTTCCTTTCAACTTTGGAAAAAATAAAAACTCAAGTCTTGTGAAGGATTTTGAAATCCTTCACGGCTTCACCCAATTTAGTTCGTCCTCTAAACGCAACTACGAAAAAACCATAAGATTTGTATAGGTTGTTTCGTAAGGGAAAAAGAAAATAGGAAGGAAGGAAATGTATAAAACCAGGAAGTAGACGATTTTTCTTATACCGTGTTTGGTATGGATTCCCTCTAATTTATTCCAAATTTTGAAAGGATCAAAAATTGAAGTCATATGAAGGATATTGCATCGCTCACTCATATTCTTTCCAATCCTTCCCAACAGACAAGCGACAGATCATAAAATCCTTCCACTAATCTCTCCTCCTCCCGCTAACTTTTCCCTCCTACAAAATAAGCTCTCAAAATCCACCCACTATACCTCTGACCTCCCCTATCTTTCCCTCCACTTCTCCCTCTTACCAAACAAGGTAGCAAATGATATTCGAATGGAAAAACAAACAACAACAAACCAAAACATATAACACATGCTCAATTATAGGCACTGAACTAGCAAATCATCTCACAAACATTTTGCAATTTCTTTGCATATTTACACCAAATCAATGATTTCTTCCCCCTTCACCATTAGATCAAACTTTGGCGGTCAATGTCTCTCTTTTCTTTGAGATTAAATTGTGTAAATTTGCTTGAAAAAGAACAACAAGAAACAAAATCAAGGAAATGAATTGAATTAAATTTGTACCTGCAAAAAATGTGACAGTAGAGAGATTTGTAATGGCCATAGTGCGATACACGAGGTATTCAGTTAAGAAATGACCGAGTGCGTAAACAAATGACAAGAAGGTAGCGAGGTAGAGCGGTTTGTTGTCAAGATTAAAGGCGCACAGAAAGCAAAGCGTGCAAGTCAAAAGTGTCCACACCCCAAAGGTTCTTCCATGAACTTCAGTCACTGTTCGAAACATGAGAAATTGAAATTTAAAAAAAAAAAAAAAAAAAAAAAAAGAGGAAAATTAGAGATTAAGGCAGAAAATAGAGATTAAAAAAAAGAGGGACTGACTAGGGGACTGAGAGAAGACGGCGACTCGGAGAGCCCAAATGTTGAAGAAACCGAACCAAACGGAGGCGAGTCGAAGTGAGCCCACAAGCATTAACCACAAACTCAAAGCCTTCATTTTCAGGGATGGTGATCGGATCTATTTTCCAGTCCTTGGCTAGAAAAATGTTTTTTTTTTGGTGAAATAGACTTTATGAGACAAAGCCAGGGCGAAAGAGCTACAAGCACAGAAAAACTAGATTAAACCCAAAAAAAAAAAAAAAAAAACAGACGGAGTAAAGAATCAACGAAACGGAGGAGATTACGGGTCAAAACGACGTGTAGCTTTTGAATCAATACATCGTTTTGGCTAACATTGAATTCTTTTGCTGCCGTTTATGAAGGAGTAAAAGAGAAGTAGACAATAGTTAGGTCCGTTTAATTCATTGATTCGAGTTTTTAATTTGAGTTGAGATGTGATTTTATATGAGAGTTTTTTATTGTAGTAAAAAAGTTAGATATGACTGTTTCTGAGAGTTTTTTACTGTAATAAAACTCAAATTCTAAACTCGAATTGGTGAAATTAGCCCGTTTAGTTCGCTGATTCGAGTTTTTAATTCGAGTTGAGATTTGATTTTATGTGAGAGCTTTTTACTGTAACAAAAAAGTTAGATGTGATTGTTTGTGAGAGCTTTTTACTGTAGCAAAACTCAAATTCTAAACTCGAATCAGCGAAATGAACGGGACCGCCTTACTCTTTTATTTAAAAAAAAAATTTTCCCTTTGCTTGCTTGTTTTCCAGGAAAAAACAAATTTTTTTTTATTCTATCGAAGAATAGCAGTTTTCATTTTAGTTCACAAGTGAAATTGGATTTCACGCTCTTTTTATTCGGTAAAAACGAGATGATGTTTTTTAAACCATTTGCTGTCGTTTATGCAGGAGTAATGGAGAGGTGGACGGCAGGCTTCCTCTCATTTGATAACGTTTTTTTTTTCCTTTTCTTTTTTCCTTCGTTTGCTACGTTGTACTTGTTCATCATTGTTTACCAGGCAAAAATAATTTTCTTTTAGTCCACAAATAAAATAAACTATTTTCCTATAAAAGGAATAAAATTAATTTATTCTCTAAACCAAGAAATTTATAAGAATTCTTTTACCCAAGACATGTATTTGGAACTTGTTTTGCTGATTTGAGTTTTTTATTTGAATTGAGATATAATTTTATGTGAAATTTTTTTACTGTAACAAAAAAATTAAATATGATTATTTATGAGAGTTTTTTAGAATCCGTTTAGTTCGCTAATTTGAGTTTTTAATTCGAGTTGAGATGTAATTTTATGTGAGGACTTTTTAGTAAAAAGGTTAAATGTGACTGTTTCTGAGAACTTTTCACTGTAACAAAACTTAAATTCTAAACTCAAATTGGTGAAATGAACGAGACAACTGTAACAAAACTCAAATTTTAAACTCGAATCGGTGAAATGAATAAACTTTTAGGCCTCGTTTCGAGTTTTCAGTTTTAAGTTCACACAGTAAAAAACTTTTAAAAAATGTCACATATAACTTTTTCTGCTATAGTAAAAAACTCTTATAAAATGTCACATCTCAACTCAAATTAAAAACTCAAATCCGCGAAGTGAACGGGACCTAAAACACTTTCAGAAAATATCACATCTAACTTTTTCTGTTAAAGTAAAAAACTCTCATAAAATATCACATCTCCACTCAAATTAAAAATTTAAATCTACGTGAACAAGACCTTAATGTATTCCAACTAAGAAAAAAGGCTTGCCATTTGATGCAGCCAAAGTTACCAAACTAGCCTCGCTTCAATTATTTAAAAAAAAACTTTTCTTTAATTTTGCAAATATATTTGCTGAGCGTCCAACTCAGACTCCACTGGAAAGCCTGTGTACAAGTGAGTGCCAACCAATAATAATGCATTCATAATATTTATGCCAACATAGGATTCTCCACACATTAGCTTCACAACAAAGTCTGGCAAAGAATATGATAAATCATCATATAAAAATTATAACAAACAAAAATACATAAATCACAAGAAAAAATAATAGAAAAAAAAATTCTCTTCCTGTTCATTCCTCACTGTACATCTTCCTCTAATAATAATAAAAGAAAAAGAAAAAATATTCCAGCTAAAAAACTGCTGTTAGTCACTGTCCCGAAGAAAGTATCCAAAGGCCAAACAACCAAAACAACTTAACCTACCCCCACCCAAAACGACAAATAATCCCAACAACGACAACCTCCCCCGGCTCTCTCTACTGCCTGAGTTCCTTGGGTAGCTTCTGCGAAAACAATCTGCAAGCATCCATGCTCAGATCCATGGCCGCCGCTAACGCCACGAACGCCGCCGCATCCTCCGAGCACGTCACATGCTGCACCCCCACCTCCACCTCCGGCTTGCTCTTCTTCCCCACTCCCTCCACCGTCGACGACATCACAAATCCTCTGTTCGACAATCCGACACCGAAGTCCGACCCAGACCCGGATCCCGCCCTCGACCCGGGTCTTGACCCGGAACCGGACCCGAGATCGATGCTGCTCTGGGGACTGATCGCCGGAGAGGAGACGATGCTCGACGTCACATCGATGGAAAACTTCCCTCCAGCAGCGGCGCTGACGGCGGAGCATGCCAGCGTGGCGGGAGTAGCGTCGTCGCCGAGGAGCTCGAAGCGGTAGCCCACGGAGTCCGTGCCGCCGCGCTCGCGCCACGCCTCGAGCCGGCCCCAGGGCTTCCACGTGCCCTCGCCGGGGCGGAGGATCAGCCACGCCCCCGGGTTGGACCGGCTCACCCGGTCCGAGCCGGGGCTCGCCACGAAAGGTGTGACCATCGACGCCACCGCAACCGGCGAACCGGAGAGGTCGTGGATCGTCACCGACCACCCCTTCCTTTCCTTCGTGTATTTTTGCTCCTTTTGGATCTTCAGAGAAGGAACAAACCAACTTCTCGACGTATTTGGTTCCGTCACCGAACTGTTTAAAAAAAAAGGTTTGACTTTTAGTCAACCAATCTCGAAAGTTCGAATTTTTTAGCTAACTGAATACAAAAAAGAAAAATAATAATAATAATAATAACGGAACGCTAACGAACCTGTTTTTGAGATCACTGGAGCTTCTGAAATCGAACTTGCAAGTGAAAACGGGCTGTTTTACACTCCCTTGGACCTGAAAAACCTGTGGACTACATTCGGGCTCTCCGTCAAACTGAAAAACGAATCTCGGGTCGGGCTCGGCCCGAACGCACAAACGCAACTGCGACGAAGATAAGTTCAATGACTCCTTGTTGTCCTTCTTTCCAATCGAAACCCAGCCGTTCTGGAAAACGTAGGGCCTGGATTCGGCGACCCTGAGATCCAACGGCACAGAGACCTTGCCCAGAAGCTTGGAAGCGTTGAGGCCGCACGTGGAGCCTCTCCGGCCCGTGTATACCTTGATCTTCAGGCACTGCGGCTTGGCGGCGAGGCTTTCGAACTGGGCCTTGTCGAGGCTGAAGCAGGCGGCGAGAGAGCGAGAGTTGGCGTCTCGGTTGAGAGGAATGGCGGCGAATTGGTGAGGGAAGTTCTTGAGTTTGATCTTGCAGAAACAGGGAGACGCCGACGGGTGGACGGTGCCGGAGAAGGATGGCTTCGAAGCGACGGGAAGCTTGAGGGCCAAGTCTCCGATTAGGATCCGGACGAATGGGCACGGATCCATTATCGAAGAAAGAAAAGAAAGCTAAAAACCCCACAATTTGAACCCGCAAACCGAAGGAGAGCTAAGAAAGTTGGAGTCTTTCTCAGTGGTGTGCTGCGACGGTTTTGTGTGCAGGTTCAGTTTGGTTATGAAGAGAAGTGTGTGAAAGATTTCTTCATATATGGTAGAGAAGAATGGGGACTTTGGAATTGCCAAAAATGGAGAGGAGAGAGAGAGAGAGAGAGAGAGAGGGTAGGTGGAAAGGAATGTGGTTAGGGAAGGAGCGAAGAGTGGTGAGAGATATAAGGAATAGATAGAAACCAAGGAGGCAACAGGCTGGAATCACAGCTGGGTCAATTTGGAATGATGAGTTTGTGTTATCGTGGGACCGACTCTACCTTAGCTGTCTATGAGCCTGCTCTGCCCTTGTTTGTTTTCCTTTTCTTTTCTTCCTTCTTGAGTTCTTTCCTTTTTTTATTCCTTAATTTCCTTTTCCATTTCTTATTTTTGAATTTCTTTCCTTTTCTGTTTTTGGTAAGTTAACTTGCATTTGAAAAAAAAAATGCTCGTTTAGTTCGCTGATTCAAATTTTTAATTTGAATTGAGATATAATTTTATGTGATAATTTTTTATTGTAATAAAAAAATTAGATGTGCATGTTTTTGAGAATTTTTTACTGTAGCAAAACTTAAATTTTACACTCGAATCGGTGAAATGAACGGGACCATTTAGACGATTAGGTCTATCCTATAGCCATGTTTATTTTACCGATTTGAATTTAGAATTCGAGTTTTGCTACAGTAAAAAGCTCTCAAAAATAGTCACATCTTTTTTTTTATTACGATAAAAAACTCTTACATAACATCACATCTCAACTTGAACTAAAAACTCGAATCAATGAATCCTATGTATCGATGGGGAATGTTTGCATAAATTTCTTGGATGCTCTTTTTCCTTTTTTAAGAAAAGGAAAGTTTAGTGAAAAAATGGAAAAGCTAAAAATTTCAAAGATTATTTTATATTTTTTTTACCAAAGATAAAGATGATTAAATAAATAAAATTACCAGGTTACTCAACGATATAAGAAATTAAGGCCTAATTCACTTTGCGGATTCGAGTTTGTAATTCGAGCTGAAATGTGACATTTTATGAGAGTTTTTCACTGTACCAGAAAAAGTTAGATGTGACATTTTCTGAGAGATTTTTACTGTATAAACTTAAAACTAAAAACTCGAATCGGTAAAATAAACGATGCCCAAATATACGCTTGATGATGCACAAAAATAAGACTTTTGTTTGTATGTTGTATGTCGTTATTTTTTGGACAAATTTTGAACATGTTCAGTTCGTTGATCGAGTTTTTAATTTGAATTGAGATATGATTTTAAGTGAAAATTTTTCACTGTAGTAAAAAAGTTAGATGTGACTGTTTCTGAGAGCTTTTTACTCTAACAAAACTCGAATCAGTGAAATAAACGGGGCCTTTTATAAACTCCGCCTAAATTTTGCCACTTATATCAATATGCACTTTAAAATGTGCATATTGTGCCCATGTATTTTGTCACTTGTGTCAATATGCTCTCTGAGATTAACTCCGTTAAGTTTTTTTAACGGAAATGCTTATAAAGGCCCCATGAACTTTGTCACTTGTGTCAATATGCCCGCTGAACTTTAAAATGTATTTATTTTGCCCCCGGAACTATAATACGTCTCCAATTTTTTCCCCTCCATCTTGATTTTATTAGTTTTTTAAACGGAAATATTGATATGACCATTAAGTTACTAATTATCTATAATATTTGAGGTTTATTGAATACCTTCCCTCTAAAATTGTTAGTTAAGCACCAATTCTCAAAATATTAGTTGATTAAAGGCAATAAAGAGAGAAAAATGATGAGCAAATCTATATAATGTAATGAATTTTGTTAGTTTTTTTCTTAATATTTCACATATATAAAAGTGCTCGACATAAAACATGTATATGTTTTATACATATATATTATTTTTAAATCTAAATGCGTTCAGATTATTTATTCTATTGTACTTTAAAAAAAATCAACACAAATCTTAAGAAACCTATTAACTTAACAAACTTAATGGTGAAATACCATAGATAATTAACAATTTAATGGTCATATCAACATTTTCATTCAAAAAATTGATAGAATCAATATAAAGGAAGAAAAGTTGAAGACATATCATAGTTCAGAGGGTAAAACAAGTACATTTTAAAGTTCAAGGGGCATATTGATACAGGTGACAAAGTTCAAGAGGTGTTTATAAGCCTTTCCGTTAAAAAACTTAATGGAGTTAACTTCAGGGGGCACGTTGACACGAGTGACAAAGTTCAGAGGGTACAACATACAAATTTTAATGTTCAGGGAGGCATATTGACATAAATGACAAAGTTTTGGAAGAATTTATAAAATTTGTCTTTTTTTTTTTGACAATCATGCTTTTAAAGTAAATGTCTATTTTTTTTAATATAAGATAACTAGAGATGGACCCAAAATCAATACAAGAGGCTTTTTCTAGTTGGCAATTATTAGTTGCAATTTTTTTAAAGAAAAATTTTGTATTCAAATAGAAATAGATAAACAAACAACACAATACAAGGCTAATAATCTAATAAAAAGAAAGACGTAAGGAGATGTTTGTTTCTTATATTCGTTATTGATTCTGAATCATGATTCATGATTCTCTACAGTGTTTTTTTCTCACAAAAAATACACGCAAAATGAGAATAATTATGAATCATGATTCTGAATTCATGAACCAAACGTCCACTAAGATCGAGCTCCTAAAGTTCTATTTGAAAAAATCTCTCTCATCAAAATAAGTTTCTCAGCACTGGAGGAACTAAACACTAACCCCCACTCAGAGAGAACATTAACATCACGACACAAATAAGATTCTAACTTGACCAAACAATCCACACCGTTGATATACTTGGTTTTAGATAGAAACTTGGTTAAAAAATCTAGATCTACATCCATCGATAAATTTTTCTTAGATTTCTTATTGAGGTCAATAATTTTTTTTTCATGAATAATTGAATAATAAACTGTGGAAAGTACTGTATGACATAAGTAAAATTTCAACTATTATTTTTTAAATAAATGTGACAATGCATTCATTTAGAAAATAAATAATATAATTATACATATTATTATAATAAAGAAGCAGTCAACCTGTTGCTTCCATTAAAGAGTGTGAGCATTTTTTGCGCTTCTTTTTTATTGACGTGTACAAAAAATAAAGGCCGTGTTTAAAATTGATCATGTTTTTTTTTACGTTTTTCGAGAAATAAACAATGAAACGTTTTCAAAATGACGTTTGGCACAATAAAGACAAAAAACAGAAATGAAAATGATTTTTAGTTTAGTGTAAAATGAGAGAGAAATGAAAAATGACTTTTAGTCATTTTTTATTTTTTGTTTTCGTTTTATCTTCTGTCGAGCAGAGAGAGAGAGAGAAATAGAGACATTAATGGGTTTTTTACACTGAAAATAATCTCTTGATAAAACTACCAAACGCATTTTTAAAAATGATTTATGTCTGAGATTGAAAACGTTTTCATTTTCATACAAAAAAATAAAATTATTTTGAAACGAGTTCTAAACGCACCAAAAACATTCGTCTCTTTTAAATGCCATTTGCTTCTAGTGTAGGCTATTATAATTGATACAATAGAGGTGAAATTTTAGACCGTCTGATCCAAACTCGGTATATATAATTAAAATTAGAAATAAAGTTGGCTCAATCCGACTCAAAATTTTATCTTTTTTTTTTTAAATAGTAGTTATATTTGCACTCTAAATATTTATAGATGTCCCTACTAATTAATGCTCATTTAAAAAAAGTTTTGAAAAATCCATCATTTTATAAATATAATTTTCATAATATCTAATTTAACCTTTTCATGCCTCCAACTAATTTTAATCTTTATATTATTTATAAAATAATTAATCCCTTTCAACTATTAATATTAAATTTTCTTTTTAAAAAATTAATACAATTCCCTTTACTTTTATTTACCAATTGTCTCCGTCTTACCTCATCCTCCTTCTTCTTCTTTGAACAAAAAAAAAAACGAGAACAACTCTCCGGATTTGATCCTCACAAAATTGCTCCTTTGATTGTTGTGCCTAATTATATTATTAATTGGCAAATTAATAATGACTTCTTCTTCATTTTTTATTTTCGGATTGAGTTTGGTTTAGTATAAAATAAAAAGTGGGGGTATGTTTGTTTATTTATTTGAAAAATACTTTCTAATTATAGAAAATGTGCGAGCATGCTCTTTATATTTTTTGAAAATTTATTTTTCCATTTATAATTGATGTGAGGGTATGATAATAGGTTTTAATGTACTTTTAATGCACGGTAAAACTGTAATAAATATATTTTATAAATTAGTGGGAACATTAATGAATTTAGTAGATGCAAATATAATTACTCTTTTTTAAAAAAGGTGTTTGGGCCGACTTGGCCTGGCCGAAATAAATTTTTAGGTTCAAAATTTTGACCCACCCCGATCCAAAAATTAAAATCCTATCAGACTTAAATCAACAGTGATGAGCCTCGAATTGACCCGTTTATCTCGACCAAAACTTCCAGGTCTATGATAAAATAACAAACATAATGTTGATTTCAATCTTGTCTGACAAAAACTTTCGGATCCTAACGTTTGGTTCATAGATTCAGAATCATTCTCGTTTTACGTGTGTTTTTTGTGAGAAAAAATACTGTAACGAACCATGAATTATGACACGAACCCCCTTTCTAAACGTCCCCTCAAATTTGATAATAAATTATACAAAAGCACGCAAAAAAATATAAACATAAACAATTTAATGCAAGCAATATATGAGCGGACCAAACGCCACAAATCAATAAAACTTAAGGAGACATAAATTTTATTTATTATGAAAATACTAAAACTATAAAAATATAAGGGATAAAACGACAAAAAATCATACATAAAGGATAAATGTCCATAAGGATCTTTCCTTTTGCGGGAGGACTTGTAGAAATTTTAGATGATGATGAGAAGGAAAAAAAACGATAAAAGAATATACTAGAAAATACTAGCATTAGAACCGATTCATTCTGCTAAACCACTATGTCATTTCAGGATTTAAAAGAAAATATTTTAATGATTATCAGATAAATAACTTGTTCATTTCGTCTATATATGTTAGATGTAACATTCGGGGATAAATTCGTAAATAATAATAATAATAATAGTAAACATATTTGGGGAGAAAATGGTTGCTAAGTTTTATGATACGGCACAAGCATACAAGACTTTTTGTAGTCGCATGTCACTGATTTTTCTATGCGGTCATGTTTTAAAATTCATTTTTATAATTAGAGATGAATCCAAAACTAATAATAATAATAATAATATCATTTTTGTTGTGAATGTTGTGATTTTATGTCGATATGATTGTTTATTGTATTATTTTATTTTTTATAGGAACTTTATGCCGATCTGCTTTTAAAAACAAAAACAAAAACAAAAACAAAAGAAAAAGATCTTTTAAAAAATAAAAATTTTACCAAAAAAGGTGTTCATGTATCCAACAAAATTGATAGGACTTGGCACGATGTTATTGGTTATACTTGTTAGCAAATGCCAACTGGAGAACAGAAGCAAATCAATGAATTTGGTCAGAAATCCTTTGTATTGCATGAATATGATAGTCGTATGGCATTGAATACGCCACCGATTCTTCGTTTTTTTTTTCTTTTAAATATTAATAATATCCATCATATTCTTAAAAATACGTATATACACATATTATATCAACTCTTGGGGTGTAACAGCTGGAGTCCTCTGAGTGGTTGTAAACTGAGCGCACGTAAAACGCAAAGCAGACAACCCATCCTCCATTTTGAATATAACTGAAAAGGCCGTGCGTTCAGTTTGAGCTGGATCACAATGCGCACGCACTGTTGTTGCCAGCAAATCAGCATCCGAGACGTTTAAAAGTGCCAAAAAAAAACATTTAAAAAATAATAATTAAGAAAGATAAATATTCGAAGGTTTTGTCGGGATATGCACGTACGGACTGGGCCACAGCAACGGCACAGGTTTGATCCATCCGAGACCAACCACTGGCCAGCTGCGCCCAAACTTGGACGGCAGTCTGACCAACCACGTCATCTCGGTCCCACTCTCCTTATTATCTTCTCTGTCTCCTGTGTTTTCTTTAAACTTAACGAGATTGATGATGATAATATTATAGTGGGGCCTATAAGCATCTGATGAGTTAATAATATAACTAATGCATCAGCCACCGTTGATCGAGGATCCGTTTGTTTGTTCATTCGAATTTTTAATTTGAGTTGAGATGTGATTTTATATAATAATTTTTTATTATAGTAAAAAAAATTAGATGTGATTATTTTTTAAAATTTTTTATTATAATAAAATTTAAATTTTAAATTTAAATCAGTAAAATAAATGGGATCCAAGTAACGACAAGAATTGCCATTCCAGCCTTTTTGTCACTGTCCCACCCCCATGTTTCCCCTTTGTTTGGGTTTAGTTGCACGTGTTAATTGCTAAGTTGTTTTGCTTTCGCTCGTCATTTGTTGTATAATTTCATGGTGAATCATGGATCACTTTCTGCTGTTGCTGTATATCTTTTAACCGCTTGATGACTTGATGTAATTGATTATTACTATATGAATAAAAAAGAATCTCACATAATTGTCATCTTATTGTGACTTATTTCACCAAGTAGTAAATAAAAATTGGTCGGGCAGATTAGACTTCTTTTTTCTTTTTATGGTGTCGGATTATCCCATTATGTTAAAATAAAAAGGGACTTTTTTGGATAATCATTGTAAAAATAAATTATTGGTAATTTTTTATTTTTCAGGTAAAATTTATATTAAAACATATTTATTTTACATATTTTTTTAATTTAATATGATTTTAATAAGATTTAATAATTAAAAATTAAAATTATTGATATGACAGACTACTGAAAAAATTTTCAAATGAAAAATATGTAAGACAGACAAAATCTTATATAAATCTGCGGATTAACAAAGTTCTATTGATTATAAATTGTTCACATTACTTGTTAAAGTATGAATTCACATCCCTAGTAAAACAAAAATTTTAAAATTTCCCGAGATAATTAAACAATATTGCCATCTTGATTGGGGTGCTCAGAACTCCTCCAGGATAATTTGATACATTCAGAATTGGCGGATTAGCTAGTGTGCGAGTAGGCATGAGCAAACAAACATAAAATGCTTGGAGATTTTTCAATTTCACGACGACTTCATTTTTCTCCTGGAAACAAATTGGGCCAATTATGCACGTATCTGTTCAAGGTAATCTTGATAAATATCTCTTAAAAATGTATGAGTAAAGATTTTTAACATTTACTCTATATTCATAACATTTTTAGTTAAATAATTACGTTAATAAAAGAGTATTTATTAAAAATAAAAGATAAAAATCTAGACTCATACACTCTTAAAAATAAATTCTTTATATTTTTATGTACTCAATCACATAATTTATTGGGAGGCAATTATTATTATTATTATTATTATCCTTATTATCCTTTTTTTTTTTTTTTTTTTCCTTTTGGTCTGAAAAGGAAAAGGAACCATGCATTCTAAATAGTAATACTCCAAATTATTATTTATGTTTTTTTATTACAGATATAGAAGAGATCTTTAGAGAGAAAATAACAAGTTTGATGAAAATTCTAGAACATTATAGTAGCTAAAGGCTGCATATATTGGGCTAGCATAATGAGGTCTAATGCAGCCCCAAACCAACAAAAAGGCTAAACTCCCCCATTAAGCCCAAACTGTGTTTAAAAAAAAACCAGAAAAATGAGAGGGACAAGGCAATTATTTCCTTTTTTTTTTTTTCAATAATTAACCATGACGCTCTTAAGTCTTGATTCATACCTCATAACACCCTTCTGCCCAAAAAAAAAAAAAAAAAGAGAGAGAGAGAGCTTCAGAAGATTTCGTTTCCAAAGCCAAAATTGTGGGCCTCTCGCAGATTAGTAAAGTCATCCACTGGTTTATTGTTGAAAACATCATGATCATAACCACCATTCATCATTAAAAATTCGTGAAAACGAGCGGCCGAGATCTGCTGAACACTTGCAATCATGTGCTCTTGCCTTGTCATATTAACCTTGTTCTTGAGCTCCTCCATTGCAGCCTTCAACGACTCTAGCCCACTCAAACTAAGCTCGTCCACAGGGGATTCCCACCAACACTGGCTCTTCACACCTTCGAGTTCTTGTCCTTTCCTTTTCTCAGCTTCCAATTCACTGAGAAGCTGAGTAAGCTCCACGTTAAGCTCATGCACAATCATTTGATTATTACCACTAATAGAGCATTTCATGGAAGAGTTTTTTTGACCAATAAGAAAGCGGTCAACGACAGAGTCAACGCTAGGGTGTCCAAAAGAGAAGGGCTTATTGGCCGGGGAGAAGGCAATAATGGCAATCTCAACCCCACAAAGTGTGCAAAGCTCACTGGCTTTCTTGAAAATTCCTGAACGTCGTTTTGAGAAGGTAACTTGTAGATTGCTTTGGTTTGGTATTTTGGCCATCACTATTTTTTTCCGACCTTGTGAGATAATTGGCTTCTTCGCCATGGTGAAAAGATGAGAGAAAAATTATATCTATATGTGTATATATTGCTTGTTTTTTCTTGGTTTATGGAAAAAACACATGGTTTGTAATATGGTATTTATAGGGGCATTTACTTGAATGACACTTATGAATAGGGCATAGGATCCCTTGAACTGCACTTATGTGTGTATCGGGCATATTGGTGTCATGTCGAGTCTTAATTGTATAATGCTTATTCTAAAAGGTGAATAATCAAAGATTTCCTGGGAGTTATACAATATTTACTCTTTTAATATAGGGGTGGGTATTAAATTGATTATCTATCCAAATCAATGGCATTAGATATAGATTAAAGCATTTGACTTTTGGCAATGATCACTTGATGTCAACAATATCATGAGTTTTCTATTACAATAGATAAATAGTATACATTGCACGTACGTTGACTTTGGAATTTCCTTTTATCTCTCTCTATATACAACAACAACAACAACAACAACGAGAACAACAACAACTTACATAGTTAGCAGTAGGGGTGTAAATTGGCCGGGTAGGGTAGGATTGAGCCGAAAAATTGAGCCTACCCGACCAGTGCGGGTTGAGAAAATTTTAGACCGTGACACTCTCTTACGTCTATAAACCCGCAACCTTTCGGGCGACCTCGGGTAGGGTCGGGTTGGTGAAAACCAATTTTAATATATGACTTTATCAATTTTAATCAATTTTTAGTCAATTAATCTGTGCTTGTTACAGAAGAAATCATTATCAAACAGAACATGTTTTTCCTTCAAGAGGAGGTCTAAATGCAAGGTGAATAATTAAAACACTCACTTTGAAATCAAACACTTCCAATATAAATAAAGAATGTCTTAATTCAACAACTATGACATACAAGCATTTTTTACACAAACTGTGAATCCAAAATATAAATAAGTTAACAGTTTAAAAGCATAAAATCCATAAACTTATAAAAGTAAGAATTTGAAGTGTTGGACATTGTTTTACCTACTTTGAACATGTTCGGCCGGGTAGGATTACCTTGGGTTCATGTAACCCCACCCCGCGCCCCTACCCGCGCAGTGCGGGTTAGGCATAATTAAAACCGAAAATTAAATAAAAAAATTCGAAACCCATGATTTTTGAATAGGGTTGGCTCAGCTCGGCCGGGTTCGGGGTGATTTCTTACAGCCCTAGTTAGCAGTTGTTTTTTGGTTTCAAAAAAATTACGTTTCAAAAAAATATATAAATGAAATACAATAATGAGTACAATGAAATGAGAGAGATTGCGCAAATACACGATTCACCAACAAATCTTCTAATGTTAACAAATAATTTTTGTCCTAAAAAATACCAAATCTTCTAAGAGGGTGTGTATTGAGTATTTTCTTAAAAATACTTTTGTCGTAAAAAATAATTTTTTTAATGGATAATTTAGTAATAAAAATTTAATTTAATATAGGTGTATGAAAAATAGAATGGGGTGTCAATATATGGACTCATACACAAATAAGGACTCGTACAGAGAAATAATACTCAGCTAGCTTACCAAAAAGGCCAGCTAATTGGTGAGTTTAAGAATGTTGATTAGCCGATACATTATAGAATTTCTATTGATCACATATCTTATATATTAAATCTGTTAGAAATTAAAAGGAACCATGTTGGAAAAAAAAAAAAAAAAGTGTGCAAATCTTGCGATATAAAACCAAATTCAATTTTTTTTTTCCTTTTCGTGACTATGAGGTGGGAGATTTGAATTCTATACCTCCAGATGGAGTTAATCGTTAATGTACAACAAGACTATTTCTGCAATTATATGAAACAATAAAGAACCAAACACTAATTTTAAAATACTTTGATGTATAGCAAAAGAGGCTATTATTTCTTCCAGTTTATTTCTTTGTACGAATTAAAGGATTTACATCTTAAATCATCTTATTGATACCCTTCACGAGCCAACATATGAACATTAATAATAATTTGATCACCTCCAAACTCATCAAGTCCGGGAGGATTCTAGTAGGTGTAATTTTTCATTTAGCAATAGCCAAATAATTTATGTTTTTAGTATATATAAGATTGGAATATATAAATATATATATATATATATCACCTAAAATAAAATATAATTAATTATAAGCCACACATCATCATGGAAAATGGATCATGTTACTCATGTAAGCCGCAAGTGAAATTTCCACAGATTACATATATAGGTACGTAATGTATGGAGGCCGGTAGTAGATAAGGGCAATGTTGCGATGCAAGATAACATTTCTCAAAATTAAATCAACGCATATTCATATTTTTGATGATGTGTGCTCCATATATAAAACTTATTTACATTATTACATAAGAAAAATACCCAAAACACCTTCTGTATTTTGTCAAAATACCACTTTCACTCATTTTATTATGCAAATACCAAAAAAAAAAAAAAAAAACTTTTTTATTTATAAAAACAGACCCAAAACGCCCCTTAAAACAATTAAATTTTTCAAAAAACATGATTACCCTTACCAATATATACTAAATTATACCATTTTAGATAAGCTAAAAAGTTAAAGAATTTTAAAAATGATCAAAATAATATTCCAATCAAAGAGATACTTTAGTTATTTTGAAGTTTTTCATTTTTTAAGATTGGTTTTATTTAACATTTTAGTTTAATAATGTTTTAAATCATATTTAATAAAAATTAAAAAAGATAATCTTGGAATTTTAAAAAATTTAATTGCTTCAAGGATATTTTGGATATGTTTTTATAAATATAAAAGGCATTTTAGGTATTATTATTAAAAGGGATGAAAATTATATTTTAACAAAATATAAGCGGTGTTTTGGATATTATCCCATCCATATTACATATAAAATTATAAATCAATAGCGGTGAATAATAAGCACAACATTATAATCCACTAGAATTTTTGTGAACTGCTTTCGTTCTTATTCTTACTCATTATTGATATATAAAATTTATGTAGATTTCAATTGGAATTTTTAATCTTAAAGTTCACAAAAATTCATATTAAATAGTATGGATTCCACATATATATAAATCAATGTCAGTGAATAAATAAGTATAGTGTTGCGATTCACGATAACATTTTTTACAATTAAAATTCATATAGCCTATTACCCAAAAATATACCACTAACAAAAATATGATTCCCATCAAAGATTTTGGTGAAGCACAATTTAGAATTTACCGGATAAGTTGGACATAACAATTTTTTTAATAAATAACAAAAATGAAAATAAAATGAAAGAAAATAGAGGTGAGAGAGAGATTTATCCTGAACCCACATCACACAATCCTTTGGAAAATTTGATAAAATGATATTAAATTTACAATTAACAATAAAACTAACTGTAAATGAAATGGGCTCCATCTATAAGACTCATATAAATCATGTATATATTCAGTACGTTGGAGAATAAATTAGTGTAGTGTTGCGCGATTCACAATAACATTTCTTAAAGTTAAAATTCACATGATTCATATTCAATGGAGTGGGCTCCACATATAGAAGTCTCATAGATTATATGTATGTCAACGGTGGAAACTAAACAAACACTTGACTGCAATACACAATAACATTTCTCAAAGTTAAAGTCAATTATAGCAGCTGTTGGTGCTGAAATTTTGGACGGGCCGCGTACGACCGCCCGAAAAACCCAAGGATTTACCCGAGCCCAAACCTGACCCGCCTGAGATTTTCGGGCTGCCCGCCCGAGCCCGAATTTCACCTTGAACGGGCCGCGGGCTTGTATTCGGCGGCCCGAGCCTGCCCGAATTACCCGAATTTTTAAACTTTTTTTTAATATTAAGTTATTTATATATATATTGGTATTACAATTTATATATATATATATTATATATATATATATATATATATAACAATTTGAAATAAACACACACACTATAT